TTTAGATACTAACCATTGAAAAGAACATCCTAGGTTCAAAATCACACTTCTTTTTCATATAAACAACAGTTAACTCTAACTTCAGTACCACGCTTCTCTCACCTCAACGCCTGTTACCCGCGGAAAATGTTTTCGAGTAAAACCGCGGTTAATCGCAGGTTTTTTCTTCTCGCCGCGGTTACTCTGTAGCAAACCGCAGTGTCATCCCGAAAAACGCGGTTAACCAAGGTAAGGACAAATCGATTTCTTCTTATTTCTGAAAAACCAATGAAAACCACGGTTTTGAGAAGACTCGATCAAAACAAATCGAGTTGCGGTGGTGCCGCCTGCGAAAACCGCGGTTTCAAGTGGATGCAGTATAGTGAGAATGAACCGCAGTATCGGAAACCGCGCTTTTTTACGATTTTATATACCTCGTTAATCTCAATCTAAATCGCAGTCTGTGAATAGCGTTCAATGTAGCAGTTTCTTAAACCACGATGCTTACGATTTAAAGTTCGATTTATCTTCACCACATTTTTTAATGATTTCGAGACTGCAGTTTCCGTCAATAAAACTACGGTTCGATGATGCCGCATTCCCCATCTGAATGGACAGTGCGATCTGTATCAGCAAACCGCAATACCGAAACCGCATTTTTATCTGTTTTTTGTCGCCAGGAAGATGTCGTATCAAGTCTGTCGTTAGGGTAATAAATACCAGGGATCCAGATCTTCTGGTTTTGGCAGATAATTTCTGATTTTTGGAACTTTTTCTGCCTCATTTCTGCTCTTTTCTCCTCAAAGGTCTATTGATTTCCTGATTTTGAACTTCTTTTTCTGAGGCCTTTCTGATTTTTTTGCTTTGAATCTGGATTGTCTACCAATTATACGCTTAAAATTAAGTCTGCACGATTTGTAGACAATCTGCATTTGTATACAAAATGAAAAGTGTCTCGGCTCCGAACGTTGATTCGTTATGAAATTACAGCTGTTGTACAAATTACAATCGATCTATAAATGGTCACTCTAGCGCCTCACGGGGGATGGGGGATAAAGGGTTAAACTGAAGTTCACTTATATAGAACGGAGACAAATCATCTTGCGTAACTAATAACTCATTAACGAATTGGAATTAAACTTTCGTCCACTACAGGTCGATACAGCTGAACGAGTAGAACACTTTTAGAAACAAAAAATTGTCTTAATCCTTTTCGCACTTCGTCTCCGAAATATGAACGTTACATAATTTTGGAAAAATAGAAAAAATTGAATTTTTTAAAACAACGTTTTCTCTACCTGTCGCGTTTCGAAAGTTTCATAATAGCTTGATGAATAAGAAACGGTAAGGCGCAAGATGGGCCCTGGAGCCACCACTGAGAGGACGGAGGGGAATGGCAAATATCGTGAATATGTTCTTTGTAAACCTTATCATGTCAGAAGCTAAAATAATATTTACCATCGATCTAATACCTTCAATGATTATTTTATTACTTAATGAAAAACAGGTGCTTTTTAAATATTTGCCAAACATACATGTATTGTTTTAGAATAGTTTTCATGCGTTAAGCCGTTCTTTTTCATATGAGTCGAATAAAGTGGAATATATTTCGCTTTTGTCCACTCAACACCGTCATAAAAGAGAAAAAAAGTAGGGATTTTTCAAGTCGTTCCCTATTGTCACTGGAGTAACCAAACTACCCTGTACAAAGGACAGAGTGCTCGGCCAATCTGTCCATACCGTTGGCATATTGGGGGGACTAGTACTCTATTTGTGTGATTATTTTTTATCACTAACTTTTCTGAAACCGCTATGAGGAGTAAACGGTTAATAGAACGGCCATGGCTTTTTTTCTGCTTATTACAACTCTTTATCAGACAAACACGTGAAAAAACACGGGATATTCAATATTCCGTACTTTTATCATACCCGGACTTCAAAACTGCATTTGACTTCTGAGACAAAATAGACACAAAACTACAACATAATGTGGGATAGACCTTATCTCCGCACTTTTCTCACAAAAGATTTCATTCGATTAATGCCCATTCTCTTCAATTTCCTTCAATCAAGGAAACAGCAGAAGGGCATTTCATCAATGAGTCCATGTAGCATAAATTTTCAGTTAGCGTCAACGCATTGTGTTGTTAACAGAACGCCCACGGACGTTTTTTGGTGAAACAACTTTGCCGTAAGTTAATCACATAGACTCACTGATGAAATGCCTTTCTGCTGTTTTTTTTGAATTGAAGTTTTGAAATAAAAACCTCTTATATTTTCTGCTTGACTTTAAGAATGTTATCTAATAACTTTTCATTTTACTATTCAGGATGTGACAGACTCGACATTTTTTGAGCACTAATTGAGCTCAAATTCGAAAACTTTCCAGTTCTTCATAAAAGAATTCGGTGTCCAAATTCCAGTCGAAAATGTATAATTTGTATAGACTATTTGAAGGGTATTAGAAAGTATGCAGGTGCTCTGGGAGAGCTTCCAAGAGGCTTGAAACGGCGTAAATATGCTTGCAAGAAAATGGTCATTGGTCAAATGGAATTTTTTGTAAGAAAAGTGCGGAGATAAGATCTATCTCACATGTATGTTGTAGCCGTTAGGGGTGGCACATTACTGTTACTTTTACGAGTAATCCAAATATTGTAAATATTTCTATTACTAGTAACAGTCATACTTTCCAGTTTTACTGTTGCTGATACAAATTTTATGAACATTCCTACCAGCAACAGTAAAACTGGAAAGTATGACTGTTACTAGTAATAGAAATATTTACAATATTTAGATTACTCGTAAAAGTAACAGTAATGTGCCACCCCTAGTAGCCATGACAGTTTTGTGTATATTTTGTCTCAGAAGTCAAATGCAGTTTTGAAGTCCGGGTATAGTAAAAGTACGAAATATTGAATATCCCGTGTTTTTTTACGTGTTTGTCTGATAAGGTGTTGTAACAAGGAGAAAACAAACCGTAGCCGTTCTATTAAAGTGAAGTTCGTTTATATAGAACGGAGACAGATCATCTTGAGTAACAAACAGCTCATTAACAAAGTGGAATTAAACTGCCGCCCGCTACAGGTAGATACAGCTGAACGAGTAGAACACTTTTGGTAATAAAACATTTTTCTTCAGAGATGGTCAGTCATATGGTGATGTACTGAAATTGTTGTTTTCAAGTTTATGTTCGAGAAATATACAGTCACCTCGCAAAATTACAAACACAATTTAAGTAACTGAACAGCTTTAATATTTTCATGACTTGGTTTTGAATATTTATTTTTCGAGTGATTGGTGGTAGACTCCACGTAATTTGTTCGCATCCTGTGTTGTATGTACAAATGGTTTATTCAGAAATTTAAAAGCAAACTCCCAATAAATACAAGTCTGTGTGTATATATACAGCCGAGAAAGGTATGTAAGATATAATAAAGATAACGTAACAGAAAAGCATGATGTAATATAAATAGTGATGTCACAGGAAGGGATAAGGAGATAGTGACTATGTGAGAGATACATTTCCTGAAAAGGAAATGGTAAAATCCGAGCTCCTCAAGTAAAGTCTCAAGTAGACCGCTTGAGGGTTCACTATGCTCATTCCATACTAAAAATAAAATGAACTTGCCTAGTATACAGAATGAAAACCGGAGTGTTTTTTGTCGGTGTTGTCCGAACTTGTTCTGATAGAATTCAACATTCTGACAAAAGCAAGGTCATATTTAGAATCAGGATCAACAGTGAGCATAACATGGGTGTTAGGAGTTCTGTATGCTAATAGAAAACTAGCACCAAGTAAATAGGATACTGGGGCTGGACGAGAAAGTCTTTACATCCAATTCAGCCATCTGCACAAAATAAGACATGAGTCAACAGGAAAACAACAAAAAATGTGTTGATATAAACGACTGTATATCAACAAATCAGCTTAGATTGAAGATACACATTAAGTTCTAGTCGATAGAGGTGAACGTTGCAAAAAAGCTGCATTATTATTATACCCAAGGATACAATGTATATCAGGTCTAGGTCAAAATGCGACTGTTTCATAATTTCGTGTTCAGTTGTATCTTTTGATAGCTTTTCAGTAAAGTGACATAGAGACATACTTCATTTCCTGAAAGTACACATGTAGAGACGTTGATCAATGGAAATATCAAGCTGGAATGCTGAATTCAAATGTACCGCATAAATATGATGCAGTTGCAGGCTTACCTTAGTTTTGACATTGTGGACCATGCATTATTTCGTTTTCTACCGTGCCCTTAGCAAGTGAGGTAAGCCTGCACAAATAATGTCATCTCTGGAATAAGCTCCAGCTTGGCTACGCAAGCCAAGCACTTATTCTCAGGTACATTCAATACGGTCACTTACTGTACATTGTCTTAGTTCGAACAGTTCGTCCAGTACTCATTTTTGATGAATCAGTTAGAAGGGAATGAGTTTTAACAGTATCGGATGTAGAAAGTTGCTGAAGAGGATCTGAATGCTTTTCTTTTTCGCTCTATCACTAATCTGGGAGAAATAATCTGCTAAATGCGTACGCAATTGCAAGTTTTTCTCAATGTTACATCTTGCGTTTCGGCATAAACAACTATGAAATATCAATACACGCATATATACGTTCACAAATTCATTGACTCTCATATACAGTCTTCGTTTTCAGGTCACGATCAAATTTCAAAGAAAACAAATCGCAAATTCACTTTGGGTAGTTATCTACAATTACAGTTATAATCGTTAGCGCTTAATAACTGTAATCGACGCATTCGTATTCATGATAGATATTTACAAGGTAATCATACTACGGATATTTATACTATGTACTTATTGATTTGACACACTCCAGACGCAATTTGCGACTTCAGTACGAACTTCAGAACGCAATCACGAGGGCTTAGTTCTAAGCCTTTCAAATCAGTTGTTCTTTTCTTATATGCCTCTCACGTATTTCTCACTCCATTGATTGACAGACACTATCTCTCTGGTAGAACAGAAACAACAGAAACACAACGTACACAATGTACTGGTATTCAACCATTACTTTATTATTGTATGTGGCAACAACAATTCACGCAAACGCATTAGAACGTTTCGGCGATGTATCGCTTCCATTGATGCCAGATGTCCATGCACCTCACCAACAGAATGTTCAATCCCTAATACATAATGAACATGTGAAATTAGTCGAAGGTGATATTGCTGTACCATCAGACCAAGCTCATCTAAGAAATCTGGTATTATCATCACGGAAATGGTCCAATAGGGTTGTACCATTTGTATTTGATCCTGCTTCCGGATACACGGCAGCTCAACAAAATACAATTACTGCTGCGATGGCGAAAATGACTGAGCAAACTAACAATTGCATCCGATTTGTTCGGCGCTCAAATGAACCAACATGGCTAAGAATTACGGCGTCGACTGGGTAAGTGTACAAGTACTATAAAGTAAGAAGTCTCTAGTCATTTTTCGAATAGATGTTGGTCTTATCTTGGTCAAATTTATACTTCTGGTGCACAAGACTTATCGTTGAGGAAAGATTCTAACTACAATTGTGTATCACAAGGAACAGTTATTCACGAACTAATGCATGCACTGGGTTATGATCATGAGCACAATCGACCAGATCGTGATAATTATATACAAATAGAATGGAATAATGTTCAATCAGGTAGATATCGAACACAGTTTTCTACAAATATATGCATGTTTTGTTTATTTATAGATCTTTTCTATGCGTTTGATCGTCAACCAGCAAGTGCAGTAAATACGTTTAATCATGGTTATGATTATGGTAAATTGTCTGTGTACATCCACAAGAATTCTAAATAATAATAAAAAAATTATCATATTTAGGTTCAATAATGCATTATAGACAAGATGCATTTTCCAAAAACGGCAAGCCAACAATGGTGCCAACGTATCCTGGGTGGCAATCGTGGGTGGCACAAATGGGCAATGGTAATTTACTGTCAGCTAATGACATTGACAAAATCAAAAAGCATTATGGTTGTGCATAAGTGTTCTCTTTTACTATTGCAGTCATACTTGATCATCCTTATTAAAATAAATATAAGATCCTAAATGTTAATAGAGTGCTTGAAGATATACAGAACTTTGAAATATCAGTTTGTCACAGGCAGTGTGTTTGACGGGATAAGCAATCAACTGTTACAATCTCATATACTACTATCGATTCCAAAATACGGTTCAGTATCCTCAAGCGTCATCTTTCAGAATCCATCTGAGTTTGCCAAAAATTCAATGGTTTTGGAGGTTTTTGAAAACCTTAACAAATTTCCCTGAAAAACTTTTTTTCCAGACGACGGCCGCCGGCGCAAACAGGTAGATTCTGCATCTCTGGTATAAAAGAAGCGGAATCCGTGTTTAACATTTGCTATCTAATCAATGAATCATATATGTCATATTAACACGTTCTAGTAGTAAACTCACTATTTTGGATAGAGCAACAGATTTGTACATCTAAAAATGGCTATTGTTTTCATTTGTTCTTCATCGATGACATGTGCATCTCATACTTGTGTCGTTTTACCACCGTGAGGTCGGCATGTCATAAAATCGATCCTTCTCTTACTGATCCCAAAAAATTTGCTTTTATTTCTATTGTGGTAAATGAGAGAGCATTGGCCGGTTTTGATTCAAATGTGCCATACCCACATGCGGTATCAGCGAGAGTTACAACTAATCCAGCATGTAAATAGCCATTAGGTGCATGAAATTCGGGTCGAAGTTGAAGAAGAACTTGGACATAACCATGTTGAGTATTCCATACCGAGATAGCTAGGAAATTTACGATACCAAGTTGATTGTAGGAGGTGATACGTTTGTATTGAGTTAGAAATTCATCATAGATCAGTATATCGATTAAATGTTTCAATTGGCGAGAATAACGTTCTAAATAGAGACATGGAAAATACACAAAAACACTGCTAAAAACACCGTAAAAGTTTATATTTTTTGATCAATGTAATTTGTGAGAAGTGTAGGATCACAAAAGTAATTTTTCGAAGATGGACGAATCTATAGAGAACGAGTAAACAGAAGTAACGTACGAGATGGTGAGATGAGCAGCTTTGCAAGAGTGCACATATTGAATATTTAAAACGAAACAAGGAATGATTACGTCTATGTGATATATTCTGGGAGAAGTCTTATTTTATTGTATTCTGAAAAAAATTCAAAACTTTCTAAGTAAATAAAAAACTATTATATCTTCTGGTTACGAGTCAACCCTCTAAGCGAAGAAAGTAAACTAAGATTTGTTACTTCCGTCTTTAAGTATTTCAGAAGAAGAGATTAGCACATAACAAAAATGTATTTTGCATCATGATTCTTGAAACTGTGCATATATCAAGTATTAAAGGCGTTAAGATGTAAGAATATTAAGAAATAGCAAGTAAATTAAGACTCATTATGGTATATATAGCTTTTATATATTATCAATTAAAAACGAAGTTTGTTTTAGAAAAACAGAACATTTATGTTTTCGGCAGTATTAGTTACTTAGGGCATACCAAAAGTACGGGTAGTGACGCTACCGTATAATAGGCTTAAAGTAACTTTCGTCTATATAATCTGATAGAGAAAAAAAGCTGTGTCTTTCTATGCTATTTGATCGTACTTCAACTAATATCATAATATTAAATTATCTTTAAAACATATTTTGGCTGGTTATGTGCCGGTTGTATTCATACTAATTTTGAAAAAATACGAGTGAGTATTTTTTAAATAACTTTTGATAGAAGCAAGATAGATAGCTGCGGTTTTCACCGTTGGAAAGAGGAGATGAAGACGCATCGAAATATCATAGGTTTTCTTGATCTGTTTCTTGTAAGGTTTTCAACTGGCCTTTTTAAGAACAAACATATTTGATAAGTTGTTTACAGTGAATTTTCAATTATCAAGTGTAAATTCAAACCACTAATCGAAGATCTACAAAGTG